CTGATGTCAGTCCCATTCTACAACAGTGGCACCATGCAGTATTTGTCCTTTTGTGACTGAGATATTTCACTCAGCATAATGTCCTCCAAGGTCACCCATTTTGTATGAGTCCCTTGTTTTTTAATGCAGTGTAGTATTCCATTGTGTGAATATGTCATAGCTTCTCTATCTATTTGTTTGTTGATGGGCGCCTGGATTGTTTCCAACTCTTTGCTGTTGTGAACAAAGCCGCTATAAACATGGGTGTGCATATATCTGCTTGGATGTCAGTTATGGTCTCTTTAGGGTATATTCCCAGTATTGGGATTGCTGGGTCAAATGGTATCTCTATTTGCAACTTTTTGAGAAAGTGCCACACCACTTTGCACAGTGGTTCCACCATTTTACACTTTCACCAACAGTGAATAAGGGTTCCAGTTTCTCCACAATCTCACCAGCATTTGTTGCTTGCTGTTCTGTTAAATTTTGCTATTCTGCCTGGGGTGAGATGATATCTCATAGTTGTGGTCCTCACTTCTTAGAACATTCAGTCACAGGACCTATTGATCTGTCTCGGGTCTCTCTGTCCTTCAGGGGAAGGAGGTGATTGAGTATTACCTGAATGAACTCATCTCCCAGGGTATGTGTCACACTCCCAGGTGGACACCTACTCCCATCCTTGAGGAGGACACATACCTGCAGGTTGAACTTCGGGCTCTGGGATCCCCAGAAGCCATCATGTCCAACATTGACTCAGCTCCTGATCCTCAGACTGCCGCTGCAGAAGGTGAGTCTGTAACTGAGGCCAGTGGCCAGGTTTCACCCTTGGAACTCCCTGCCATCCCCAGAGGGAGAATCATTCGGGCCCTCTAGAGTTGGGTCTGGGTTTTGAGTGGACCGCAGCCCTTCCATTTCTCTCTTGGCTGCTGATGTGTCTGAGTGCCATTTCTAGTTTATTTCTAGATTGGCAGCTGGTGACTCAGCCTTGCTTTTTCTCTGGCTCTGTGACTATTTTTAATTATGTGAGCAATACATAGTCATGGTAGAAAGGCAAATGGCTTAGGAGATGAACAGGAAAAAGGGGGGGTGTCTTTTCCTCTCCCATGAAGTAACAGCAGTTTGTGTTTATTAAAAACAAAACCACACTTCAACGATTTAGATCCTCCCAGAACAACTGTGGGCAAGCATTAACATTACTGGTAAGTATATTCGTTTTCTCCTGGACATAAGAGCCTACTATCTGGTCCTAAAAGCCTTCTGAGGTCCCAACTCTTCTCACTATTTCTTAGTTGTTGGAATTGACGGAAAACCTCATAAGCAGTTCCTTACTTTACCTCTGCCTTGCATGCGGACTTCTGAGTTGTAAAACAACCCAGCTGTAGATGGAATTTCCTCCAGGACTTAAGAACAATAAATGACATAGTTGAACCTCTACATCTTGTGATTCCTAATTTTTATTCTATAATAGACAGAGTGCTAGTCAATAGGCCTTTTATTGTAAGAACTACCTTCCCTCTGTAACTTGATTTGTACTACTATTAGAGCCTCTACTTGGAATATTATTGCTTTTTAATTTTTGACTCATGTACTTTTAACTTGTTAGTTAAATTTGTGTCTTCTAGGCTGCAACACTTCCATGTTACATCTTCAAGGATATGAACATGTACGGCTAAGCACAATTGATAACAGTGCATCTAAATTCCAAAATAATTCTCCATAATAGTTTATGTGTTTCCTATTGCCAGAGGGGCCCTTAAGAGTAGTGAGAGAAGATCTTCACCCTGAAACCTACAGCGTCCCTTTTCAGCAGGAAGTAGCTAAGAGAATACGCCATCCCCTTTTCTTTATGAATCAGGGTGAAGTCTCTCTCAAAGAGGAGTGATAGGGAATGGCAAAGGACACACTGACAAAGGAGATTAATCAGAACTGGCTTTGACAAGCACTGTGGCAATGGGACAATTAAAACAGACTTTCAAGGGGGGGGAAGAAGAACAAACTGGGGAGGAGGGTAGAGAAAATAGCAACAATGAATGAATGAAAACCCCAAATTTCTGTAAATGTTCGTTAAAATTAATAAATTTTAATAAAAAAAAAATGAAAACAAAACCAAAACAAAACAAAAAAACCAAAACCAAACCCAGACCCATTGCTGTTGAGTGAATTCCAACTCATCATGACCAAGCAGACCAGAAGAGAGCAGCCCCATCATGTTTCCACAGCTCTAATCCTTCAGGAAGCTGTTATCTCATGCTCTAGCTATGGTCTGGCTGGAGGCTTTGAACTGCTAGCCTTTCAGTTAGCAGTCAGTCACTTAACTGTTGTACCTCCAAAACTTCTTTTGCTTTAATTTTATGGAAAATAATAAAAGTGGTTGTTAGCTGCCTCTGTATGGACTTTAGTGCTTGTGATGGTGCATGGATGGTTGTACTTCCTCATAGAGTTTTCAAGATAGTCATCTGGCCTTTCTTCTGAGGTGCCCCTAGATGAATTGGAACCATTAATGTTTTGGTTAGTTGAGAGACTCCATCTGTGTAAGTACACATGTGGGTGTATATGCCTGTTGTTTGCTGCCTGTCCACCAGCTGCTCTGGAAGAAGCATGGGCTGCCTGTTCCTGTGAAGATCTAAACTGTGGAAACTGGTAGAGGGTCTCACAAGTCAAACTGACTGGATGGCAGGGGCTTTGGTTTCATTGTGAGGGGCAACTCTAAGGAGCAGTGTTTAAACATGTGGCTGGTAACCACAAGGCCAGTGATTTGAAGTTACTGGCTATTCCATAGGAGAAAGATGAGGTCGTCTACTTCCACAGGCAAACCCTGTGGAGTGTTTTTCTTTGTCCTTCAGAGTCACTTTAAATTAGAATTTGCTAGATAGCAGTGGGTTTAGTTTGGAATTTGCCTTATTTCCAGATATTCAGGGGGCAGAGCCATTTACCTCATATGCCCGCGCTGGTTTTGTTTAAAACAATTGCTATTGGGGACCACTTGTATATATGTCAGTTAGATTGGCACTCAGCAAAGTTCTCAGTGACTGAATTTTTTAGGGAGAATAAAAATTATTCACTCCACAGGTGCTTGTTCTACATCAAACGCGTGGACTGACTGCTGGTCTACGGGTGTGCTTTCCTCAGCCCACGTCACATCCTGTCCTGCACATATCCTTAGTAGTGCCATCCCCTTTGCTTGTGCTCTAGTCTTTCCTCCTGTCAGTAGAGGCCTTGGTACCTCCATGTCCCCAGCAGGGCGGGACTGTGTTCACACCCTTCTACCCTGCTCTGAATCACGGGTCTCTGCAGAAAGAGAAAGGACTTTCACAGCTGCTTGGAAGGATGCTGTGTCAGCTGCCTTGTGCTTTCTGTTTTCCTGCCCCTCGCTGTCCAGCCTTTCTACCTCTGGCCACACTGTGCGCTGTCACGGGTTCTGGACAGCCTGCCCTTCCATGTGAAAACACCTCTCTTGCTCCTGTTTATCCAGATGCCTCCTGATGCTGCTAGGTTGACCTTGGCCCCATGCATTGGCTTTGAGGAGGGTTTGGGTCTTGCTACTGGAAATGAGATGTTTAAATTGTTTTCCTATGGTGCCGTCTGGGTACAAAGAACTGTTATGCCCATAAAGGCTGCTGCTTTGTGACATCTGCACCAACTGCTAAGATGCCAGGGTGTTGGAGTGTGCTGGCATCCACCCCTCCCCAAGATGAGAGAAGGCCAGGGGCACCTCTGGTGGGAAAGTAGAATGGTGAAGTCCCTGCCAAAAGCAGTTTAGTATTTCCTAAAACAGTTAAATGTAGAATTACCATAAGCTAAAAAGAAACAAGCAAAAACCGAAACACGCAGCCATCAAGTCGACTCCAACTCATGGTAACCACTAGGACAGAATAGAACTACCTTATAGACTTTCTCTGGAAGCAGGAGCAGCATCTGCTTCCGAAATGGCTTGTCTCTGTAAACTCTATGTACAAACAGTGCTCAGGCCTTTCATTCATAGGGTCGCTATGAGTCATGTACGACTCGACGGCACCTAACAACAAACAACATAGACTTTCTAAGGCTGCAATCTTAGCAAAAGCATTGGCTGGTGAACTTGAATTGCTTACATTCTGTTAGCAGCCAAGCACTTAACCACTATGCCACCAGCACCCCTTCAGAGCAGCTGCCCAAACTAGCCACTGCTGCAGATTCTAACTCCTTACAGCCTTCTGCTGAGGTTCCAAGGATTTATTGGGGAGATTTTTTATTTTTCTCCTTTGGAGCAGCTGGTGGTTTTGAACCACTGACCTTTTAGTTAGCAGTGGTGTGAGTTGGAGTAAGACACCCACTCCTCACTATACCACTGGTACCAGAGGGCAAAGGAAGACTCACTGGTCCTGAGGAGACATTATTAGGTTCCTAGGAAAACAGCGTGAATTTTCAGAACCTTCTTGGATCTGGACTGGGTCTCAGGTGGCTGACTGGTGCAGGAAGCACCGCCAGGCTGAGCTGTGCTTCGGGGAGACATGGGCTGTGTAGGACTCCCTACCTCTGGTTCTGAAGCCTCCTCTTATGCTCCCAGGGGACAAGCTGGAAGTTGACTACACCAAGCAGTACCTTGTCCAACTCACACCCATGCAAGAGAGCTGCCTGACCGAGCTGCGGCAGTGGCTACAGGAGACCCACCAGGGCAAGGTGCGTGCAGATCTGAACCCTTGCAGATGTGTGCACACCTCATTAGGCAAAGAGTGAGGACTATGAGTGCTTGCTGGTCATAGCTTAGCAGTGTGGAAAACTTGTATTTCATTCTGTTTTTATGAAATTCTATCTTAGGTTGTGCACACAGGCAAGTGCCAGGCTATTTAACAAAAGTTTGACAGTTTAAACCCACCCAGAGGCACCATGGAAGTAAGTCCTGGCAATCTGCTTTTGAAAGGTCAAAAACCAAGCCCAACACTGTTGAGTTCATTCCCACTTATGGTAACCCTCCAGTGGGTTCCAAGTCTGTAAACCTTTACAAGAGGAAACTCTCCAACCTTCTTCCACAGAATGGCTGGTGGATTTGAACTAGCAAACTTTTTGTACTCTGCCCCCAGGATTCCTTTCTGAAAGGTCACAGCCATGAAACTATGATGTATAGGTCTACTCTGCACACATGGGATGTCCCTGCTCAGGATCAACTTATGACAATTGATTTTTCCCTTGTATTCAAAAAGGATCCTGGTGGCACAGCACTTAAGTGCCCCGCTGCTAACTGAAAGGGCATCAGTTTGAACTCATCAATTACTCTACAGGAAAAGGATGTAACAGTTTTCATCCATAAAGAGTGATAATCTTGGTAACACCATGGGGCAGTTCTACTCTGAAGAGTTATGTTGCTGAAAATCAGAGTAAATCCTCTAATTCCTGGTAATCATATGAGACAATGGCAGTGGTTGTATATCTGTAGTACATCCACTTCTCTCTTTATAATGTGGTTTGGTTCCAGTTACCATGTCATTATGTGAAAATGGAGATGACCACATCAGATCACAAAACATTATTACATACATGTCAAATTATGACATTATGAGAATATAAAGTTATACCACTACATAAATACATCACATCATTACATAACCGCCAAACATATCTTCACATAATTGCCAAACTATTGAGAATCTTGACTTAGCTAAGTCGACTCCTAGCTTTAACCATCACAACCAGTATTATTCTCAACTCACACCTTGACATTTGTTACTGCAGTACATACATGCTAGAGCTCTGGTGGCCTAATGGCAAGAAGCTGCATTGCAGTCCTGAAGGCGCACAGCTGCTCTGCAGGAGAAAGATGAGCAGTATCCTTCTGTGAGAGTAACTGCCTCTGAAAACCCACTGGAGGGTCAGCTATAGATTGGTTCTGATTTGATGGTACACAATAACAACAACAACAACATGGTAATATGCAAAAAGTTGAGCAATAAAAATATTAATAACAAAAAGTTGATGTCTTACTATTGTAAAGGCAAAATGTTGGATAAGGAGATAATCACTAAGTGAATGGTAGTCTTTGCTGTCAACATTGGTACCATTGACCTTGTGGGCTGGATTATTCTTGGAAGTGTGTGCTGGGAGGAGTCCCATATAGCCTTGATTGCCTCTCTGTCTTCACTTGGTTGGAAGGAATAGGGTTCTATTCCTAGCAAAGTCAGTGGTGGCACAAATAGTTAAGAGCTTTGACTGCTAAATGAAAGGTCAGTGATTCGAAATCATCAGCTGCTCCTAGGTAGAAAAATGTGGCATCTGCTTCTGTTAAAATTAACAGCCTTGGGGAATTAGAATTGAGGCACAGAGATTTGTACATCAATGTTCATAGCAGCGTTATTCATCATCGCAAGAACTTGGAAACAGCTCAAATGTCCAACCACAACTGAATGGATTGAGAAATTGTGGTTATTCACACAATGGAATACTATGCAGCACTGAGTTAGTTCAATCAGCATAATGCTCTCTGACCTCTTCTATGTCATATAGTATTTTTCAAAATCATTGCCCCTTAGTGTGAATGTACCACAGTTTCTCAAGAGTGACAGGTCTCATCCTAGGGAATTCTCTTCACATCTGTCAGAACCAAGTTGCATTTCACCCTTAATCCTCTTGCACCTCTTTGGTTTATAAGATCATGGAGGAGAATTACACAGCTTCTATGTTATATCCTTACATCCATGTATTTTTTGGGGGGGCATAATTAAATTGTGAGGCAAGAGGCTCATTTTCTGTAATGTCACATACCAGATTAAGGGATAAAATTTGCATGGACTTTCTCTTCCATCTGTCAGATTCCCAGAGATGAGCATATCCTCCAGTTCCTGCGTGCCCTAAACTTCCACCTGGACAAGGCCCGGGACATGCTGTGTCAATCCCTGAGCTGGCGGAAGCAGCACCAAGTGGACTCCTTGCTTCAGACCTGGCAGCCCCCTATGCTGCTTCAGGAGTTCTATGCAGGGGGCTGGCATTACCAGGACAAAGGTACGTTTCTTCACCCCCATAATGTATGTAATGCTCTGGGGCCACTGCCAGGTGTAGTGCTTGTATCATCCAGGGATCTGAGAGGAGCGTTAGGTTTACAGAAAAGCTGCTAAGTTCACTGAGAGTTTTCACAAGTGCTGCACTTGCTTTTCCCAGGTGTGTAATCTTGATGGTAGGCAGGTGTTAATAAATAAAGTAGCCCTGCTGGTGTAACAGTTAAGCACTGCTAACTGAATGGTCAGCAGTTTGAACCCAGGGAGAAAGGCCTGCTGTTCTCATGGAGATTACAGCCTAGAAAACCCTACCCTATAGGGTAGTTCTTCTCTGTCCTGTGAGGTAGTGGCAAGTGGGAATTGATGTGGGGTGCCTTTGAGACGGTGCCCATTCCATGTACAACAGGACAGATGCTGCCTTGCTGGCCTTGCCGTTAGGCTGTTTAAGCTCATTGTTTCAGCCACTGTGTCAGTCCATCTTGTTGAGGGTTTTCCTCTTCTTTACTGACCCTCTACTTTTCTAAGCGTAATGTCCTTCTTCAAGGGCCACCCTCTCCTGAAAATATGTGAGAGGAATTCTCACCATCCTCATTTCTAAGGGTCATTTTGATTTCACTTCTTTCAAGACATAGTTATTTGATGTTTTGACAAATCTGTGGCATATTTAGTATTCTTTGTCGATGCCATAATTCAGAGGCATAAATTTTTATTTAATTTTCTTATTCATTGTCCAACTTTCACGAGCATATGCAGCAATTGAAAATACCATGTCTTCCCTTCAACAAACGAATGGATAGAGAAGCTGTGGTATATTCACACAATTGAATACTACACTGCATTAAAAAACAAGGAACTCATGCAATATTACTCAAAATGGGTGACCCTGGAGGACATTATGCTGAGTGAAATATCTCAGTCACAAAAGGACAAATACTG